GATAGATAGACAGATAGCTAGCTACCTAGCTAGCTAGCTAGATAGCTAGCTAGACAAATAGATTGATAAAACCATAGATAGATCGATCGATGGATAGATAGATAGACAGATAGCTAGCTAGCTAGATAGCTAGCTAGATAAATAGATAGATAAAACGATAGATAGATAGATCGATAGATAGATAGATAGACACATAGACAGATAGCTAGCTAGCTAGATTGCTAGCTAGTTAAATAGATAGAAAAAATGATAGATGGATAGATAGATAGGTAAAGAGATAGACAGATAGCTAGCTAGCTAGATAGCTCGCTAGACAAATAGATTGATAAAACGATAGATAGATCGATCGATGGATAGATAGATAGACAGATAACTAGCTAGCTAGATAGCTAGCTAGATAAATAGATAGATAAAACGATAGATAGATCGATCGATAGATAGATAGATAGACAGATAGCTAGCTAGCTAGATTGCTAGCTAGTTAAATAGATAGATAAAACGATAGATGGATAGATAGATAGGTAAGTAGATAGATAGATAGATCAACAGATAGATAGATAGGATAGATTAGATAGATCAGATAGATTAGAAAGATAGATCAGATAGATTAGATAGATTTGAAAGATAGATAGATCGATAGAAAGATAGATAGGTAGCTAGAAAGACACGCAACCAGATAGATAGACAGACAGACAGACAGACAGATAGGCAGACAGACAGCTCGCTCAATAGCTAGCTAGGTAGATATATCAGATAGATAGATAGATAGATAGATAGGTAGGTAGGTAGATAGATAGACACATAGATAAATAGATAGATAGATTAGATAGACTAGATAGTTTTTGACAGATAGAAAGATAGAAGGATACAAAGATAGAAAGAAAGAAAGATAGATAGATATATAGGTAGGTAGGTAGATAGGTAGATAGATAGAGAGCTAGATAGATAAAACAATAAGAAATAAAAGATAGATACAATAGATAAGATAGATAAGAAAGATAAGGTAGATTAGATGGATAGACAGATAGATAGGTAGATAGATAGATAGATAGATTAGATAGATAGATTAGACAGATAGAAAAGATTGATTAGATAGATAGATAGATAGATAGATAGATAGATAGATAAATTGATAGATAAAACGATAGATAGATCGATCGATAGATAGATAGATAGACAGATAGCTAGCTAGCTAGATAGCTAGCTAGATAAATAGATAGATAGCTAGCTAGCTAGCAAGATAGCTAGCTAGATAAATAGATAGATAAAACGATAGATCGATCGATCGATAGATATATAGATAGACAGATAGCTAGCTAGCTAGCTAGATAGCTAGATAGCTGGCTACATAAATAGATAGATAAAACGATAGATAGATCAATCTATAGATAGATAGACAGATAGCTAGCTAGCTAGATAGCTAGCTAGATAAATAGATAGATAAAACGATAGATAGATCGATCGATAGATAGATAGATAGACAGATAGCTAGCTAGCTAGATAGCTAGCTAGATAAATAGATAGATAAAACGATAGATAGATCGATCGATCGATAGATAGATAGATAGACAGATAGCTAGCTAGCTAGATAGCTAGCTAGACAAATAGATTGATAAAACGATAGATAGATCGATCGATGGATAGAAAGATCCACAGATAGCTAGCTAGCTAGATAGCTAGCTAGATAAATAGATAGATAAAACGATACATAGATCGATCGACAGATAGATAGATACATAGACAGATAGCTAGCTAGCTAGATTGCTAGCTAGTTAAATAGATAGATAAAACGATAGATGGATAGATAGATAGGTAAATAGATAGATAGATAGATAGATAGATCAACAGATAGATAGACAGACAGACAGATAGGCAGACAGACAGCTCGCTCAATAGCTAGCTAGGTAGATATATCAGATAGATAGATAGATAGATAGATAAATAGATAGATAGATAGAAGAGATAGACTAGATAGTTTTTGACAGATAGAAAGATAGAAGGATAGAAAGATAGAAAGATAGAAAGAAAGAAAGATAGATAGATATATAGGTAGGTAGGTAGATAGGTAGATAGATAGAGAGCTAGATAGATAAAACAATAAGAAATAAAAGATAGATACAATAGATAAGATAGATAAGAAAGATAAGGTAGATTAGATGGATAGACAGATAGATAGGTAGATAGATAGATAGATAGATTAGATAGATAGATTAGACAGATAGAAAAGATTGATTAGATAGATAGATAGATAGATAGATAGATAGATAGATAGATAGATAGATAGATAGATAGATAGATAGATAGATAGACAGATAGATAGATAGATAGATAGACAGATAGCTAGCTAGCTAGATAGCTAGATAAATAGATATATAAAACGATAGATAGATCGATAGATAGATAGATAGACAGATAGCTAGCTAGCTAGATAGCTAGATAAATAGATATATAAAACGATAGATAGATCGATAGATAGATAGATAGACAGATAGCTAGCTAGTTAGATAGCTAGCTAGATAAATAGATATATAAAACGATAGATAGATAGATAGATAGATAGATAGATCGATAGATAGATAGATAGATAGGTAGAAAGATAGACACATAGATAAATAGATAGATAAAATAGATAGATTAGACAGATAGAATAGATTGATTAGATAGATAGATAGATAGATAGATAGATAGATAGATTAGATTAGATTAGATTAGATTAGATTAGATTAGATTAGATTAGATTAGATAGATAGATAGATAGGTAGATAGATAGATAGATAAGTAGACAGATAGATAGATAGATAGTTAGATAGATAGATAGAAAGATAGATAAATAGATAGATAGATAGATCGATAGAAAGATAGATAGATAGATAGATAGAAAGATTAGATAGATAGATAGATAGATAGGTAGATAGATAGATAGATAAGTAGACAGATAGATAGATAGATAGGTGAATAGATAGATAGGTGAATAGATAGATATATAGATAGCCAGACAGACAGCTAGCTAGCTAGATAGCTAGCTAGCTAGATAGCTAGCTAGCTAGATAGCTAGCTAGATAAATAGAAAGATAGATAGATAGATAGGTAGATAGGTAGATAGGTAGATAGGTAGATAGGTAGGTAGGTAGATAGATAGATATAGAGATGTATTGGATATATTGATGAGCAGGAAAAAAACAAATAAATTCTCAAATCGATAGATAGATAGATAGATAGATCGATCGATAGATCGATAGATCGATAGATCGATAGATCGATCGATCGATAGATAGATAGATAGATAAGTAGATAAGTAGATAGATAGGTAGATAAGTAGATAGATAGATAGATAAGTAGAAAGATAGATAGATAGATAGATAGATAGATAAGATAGATAGATAGATAGATAGATAGATAGGTGAATAGATAGATAGGTGAATAGATAGATAGATAGATAGATTAGATAGATAGATAGATAGATAGATAGATAGATAGATAGATAGATAAGTAGACAGATAGATAGATAGATAGGTGAATAGATAGATATATAGATAGATAGATAGATAGATAGATAGACAGATAGACAGATAGAGGTAGAGATAGATAGAGATAGATAGAGATAGATAGATATAGATAGATATAGATAGATATAGATAGATATAGATAGATATAGATAGATATAGATAGATATAGATAGATATAGATAGATATAGATAGATAGATAGGTAGATAGGTAGATAGGTAGATAGGTAAGTAGGTAGGTAGATAGATAGGTAGATAGGTAGATAGATAGATAGATAGATAGAAGTATAGATAGATAGATAGATAGATAGGTAGATAGATAGATTGATTGATAGATTAGATAGGATTAGATAGATAGATAAACAAATATATGACAGACAGATAGGCAGATAGATAGACAACTGCAACTGCACTACACCACAGTACAACTACAACTTCAACTACAACTACAACTACATTACCACTACAACTACAAGTACACTTCAACTACACTTCAACTACAAGAGCTACAGCTACAACCACTACGACAACTTCAACTACAACTACAACCTCAGCTACATTTACTATAACTACAACTACAATTACAAGCGCCACTATAACTACAACTACAAGTACAACTGCAAATACAACTGCAACTGCAACAACTACTACAACTACACTACAACTACAACTCCAACTGCAACTACAGCTGCAAATACAACTACAACTACAACTTCAGCAACACCACAACTACACTTCAACAACAATTACCACGACACTACACTACAACTACAATTACAGCTACAACTACATCTACAGTTTCAACTACAACTCCTACAACTGTTGCAACTACTACAATTACCACAATTTAGGCAACTACAACCACAACTACACTACAACCACAACTACAACCACAACCACGACCACAACTACAACTATGACATTACAACTTCAACACCATCAACCCCACCACAACTACAACTACAACTACAACTACAACTACAACTACTGCACTACACCACACTACATCCAGGAGTTGTGAGCGAGGCGATCACTGCAACCATTGCAACCACTCCAAAAAGCACAGCTCCAACCACCTTTCGGTCCATCAGTGGATTCGCTCTGCCATCCATCCATCACAACAACTCACATCTCCTATAGTGTCCTATCCTTGAAACTTCCGCCACTGCCTTGTGCGGTACTACTGGTAAACTTACTGTAATTTTGAGGGTTGCAAGCAAATGTCACTGTGGCACACCCTCGCCATGCTTTTGTTGATGACCTCACCATGACCCACATCTCTCAATGTTTGGGCCCATGTTCAACCCCAAACCCAGGACTTAGAGTGACTTAGATGGATTTAAAGCGCATTACTGCCTAATTACTCACTCATATGGATGCGATATGTTTCCATATATTCGTTTTTCAAAATTTCACTCAACGTTTTAATCCATGAACATTTCCTCAAATTGACGACTTAACGTTCCGATGTTCCCTCCAAACCTTCGCCAGAGCACAGGGTGCAATGCCCTTGGATCTGGTGCTGGCAGATCCCCATGTGGCACCCATCCTCGATGATCCCCAAGTACCGATCCTCGATGATCCCCAAGTGGCACCGATCCTCGTAGATCCACATCTACCACCGACCCAGGGCCAAGGTTAGGCAAACAGCTGGCACTGTCGGGAGGTAGCTTGATCTTCTTCAACCTGGAGACTGAGAAACCCATAGGCTATCCATGTGTGGTTATGTAATATATGCAGTTCAAGCTGAAACAACCAACCGTTCATGATGGAGTCGTATCTATACCATCCAAAAAAAGGCTATGTCTACCTGTATGTATTTGGGTGATTTGAGGGGGGGTAGATGTAAATAAGATGTTCGAGAACCAAGGACTGTTTGGGTAAGCTTGTATTGGTAACGAAGTGATTCTAACGAAGTGATTTATTCTTCATTGTTAGTGACATTATTTGTATCTATATATATATATAATTATATACACTATACGCACTGATAGGAGATACACATTAACTGTTAAATGAACACTGTACACTGGCATAAGATGCAGATACGTTACACACACACATTTGTGGAGATAATGTTCCAGTAGGCTCTGGAGTGATCTATCATGAAGATCCATCTTGCTTTTTCCCCACCTGCCAGGTGAGGGTTGTTAGATTTTATGTCAGTTGCCTGGTCCTCCTCCTCCTCGTCCTCCTCCTCCTCCTCCTCTCGTTGTCCTCCTCGTCCTCCTGCTCAACTGCGACTCGCGATCCACAGTGTTCTCTGTCGGACCTCAACCACGACCATCCACGCCCAGTGTTCCCTGCCGGACCTCAACCACGACCATCCACGCCCAGTGTGCCCTGCCGGACCTCAACCACGACCATCCACGCCCAGTGTTCCCTGCCGGACCTCAACCACGACCATCCCCGCCCAGTGTTCCCTGCCGGACCTCAACCGCGAGTATCCACGCCAAGTGTTCCCTGCCGGACCTCAACCGCCAGTATCCACGCCAAGTGTTCCCTGCCGGACCTCATGAGATATGCCAGATAGAATGCCAGAAGATATGCCAGATGGAATGTCAGATAGAATGACACAAGATATGCCAGATAGAATCCCAGAAGATTTGCCAGATAATATGCCAGAAGATATGCCAGATAGAATGCCAGAAGATATGCCAGAACATATGCCAGAAGATATGCCAGATAGAATGCCAGAAGATTTGCCAGATAATATGCCAGAAGATATGCCAGATAGAATGCCAGAAGATATGCCAGAAGATATACCAGAAGATATGCCAGATAGAATGCCAGAAGATATGTCAGAATATATGCCAGAAGATATGCCAGATAGAATGCCAGAAGATATGTCAGATAGAATGCCAGAAGATATGCCAGATAGAATGCCAGAAGATTTGCCAGAAGATATGTCAGATAGAATGCCAGAAGATTTGCCAGTAAGAAAATGTAAAAATGTCACGGTGGGGATCACACGAAGTAAAGTAATTTTTAATGATGGAGTTCAGCAGCTGATTAGCAGGTGGGGGCGGGTCCAAACCCAGCTAAAATGCACAAATGAATTGGCCAAAATCTGATGATTGATTTAAGTAAGATAACCAGACAGCAACTCGAAAACATCACATTGTATTTATATTTAACTGGATGATTAGGATATCCTAAATTATTTCAACGACTCCCCCCCTCTCTCAACAACTTCCTGCGTGCATGGTGGGTCACTATCTAGATTGCCCGCCCCGGGCCTCTCAGCAACTTCCTCCATTAATGTGGATTAAAATATCAAAACTTTACCCCTTTCTCAACCTCTCCCTGCATTCATTCAGTTCAATACACACCACTGACTGACAATGCATGCGAGCCGCCGACCCCATATCACAATAGGGTTCCGCTCCTTCTTTTCCCCCCCACCCCCGTTTCAGCAAGGTCCGCAAAGCAGGTGCACAGTCCCCAAAAAAGAAGCCAGGCCCGAAAATAATTACCATCTGGTTATTTAACATAGCCATGGAAAATGGCACATTTATAGATGGTTTACCTATTAAAAATGGTGATTTTCCATGGCGAGCTGTTAAATAACCAGATGGTAATTTCCCTGTCAAATTTCCTCTGGCTCCACTAGAAAACACAGGGTCCAGAATACAGACAGGTCCAAGAAACATGTACAGGTCCAAAAAGGATGTGCCAAGGTCCAAAAAACATCCAGCCCTAGCATCAGCATACCCTACTAAATTCCATGATAATAGCACTGTAACTACAAGATCTATTCATTATTTATTGGTCAATTTCCTTCTATAATATTTATCAAACCCATTGTCCCAGATGTGGGGAGAATGAACATCCGTAAATCCTAGCTATACTATTTTGGGTTCACCCCGTTTTAAGTTGGTTTGTTAACCCCATTGAGTATCGATAAATCCCATGTAAACCATAGCTGGTTGGTGATTTCAACCCCTCTGAAAAATATGAGTTCGTCAGTTGGGATGATGGCATTTCCAGTATATAACATATGGAAAGTCATAAACTTCCATGGTTCCAGTCACCACCAACCAGATAGGTATTGGGGTATTTTTGAGTTATGTTCACCAACGTTGACCCATCCCCCCTTTTTCCGCGCCTGCTTGGCTGCTCAATCTCTATGATGCCCACATGCGACGCCTTGCCCGGCACCAAGTAGAGATGGCCACTCGGAGCTGCCACCAGGCCGTTGTAGGGGAACTCCGCCCTGAGGATGAAAAAACGGAACCCCTTCCGGTAAAAATGAACGATTATGAACATGGAAACATATGAAAAATACATGGAAACATGAAAACATCGTGAACAGAGAATGAACATACACTAGATTATAGACTGGACCTCTTAGGATTCTAACAAGAAGACAAGATGATTCAACAAATATAATTATAATATTTGAGCATCTGGAGAGTTCCGAAAAGAAAGTTGGAATTCACCAACAGAAGTGGGATTTTCTCAACACAAATGGTTGTCAAAGCAAGATCAACAAAAGCGAGGAGCCGACCCAGAAACTATGGTTTCTCACCACGAAAAAATGCGGCTTGACCAAACAAAAGTGGAGTTGATGAACAAAACCACGAATTTCCAAGTTCCAGAAGCCATCACATGACACTATATTAACATCAATGGATGTATCATAAGGAAACATGCAGCTAGGATATACTAGATCCTATATGCATGTTGGACCGGAATATCTCGGAATAACACTAAATATATATATATAGTTGTGAATGCTATGTGAAGTTCAACTTGCAATATGACTGCCTGCTGAAAATTGAGCCATCCCCTAAATTCGGAAATGGTTACACCACTCCCTGAATGTAAGGTAGAACCCACCTACGGGGTCTGTGCTTGATAATTTTACCGAGATAGATAGAATATGGCCACGATTTATGGGTTCCATGTGAAATCAACGATGTGCAGTTTTTTTTCCAGGTAGAACCCCATCATATGGGGTTTCCTAAAATAGGGGTACCCCCATATTAATATCATCCTTTCTAACGGCATTTTCCATGATCCATAAACCATCCAGCTATTGGGGTACCCCCATTAAACCCCATCATCTCCCAAACTGTAACACATCAATTATACCCCCCAAATGGCTAAACACTTTGCCAACTTCTTGCGAAAATGCGGAGATGGACATGACCCGCCACCCTGTCCCCGCGATTTTTTTGTAATACAAGTGATTAAATCACCATTCTGGTAAACTAACCATAGCATGTTTGTTGATGCTTATGCCAGCTTATACCACAATTCTTGTTGCTCTAGTCAACTCCAGTCACCATGTTTATGGTTTACATCACCCCGTTCTGGTGGCTTTTCTTTAATCCCAATGATTCCCATAATTGGTTTCACACAACATTTACAGGAACTCCTCTCTTTCTTCAGGAAGAAAAAAAACTGTCATGTTTGATTCATCCAAACATGGGTTGTACTCCAAATCCATCGATTTTTCATTGGAATGGCCAGGGCTTGGGCTTATTTCCCATTCACCCCAGTGCAGTTTTCGTGAAATCTTCTCGTTTGGCGTCAAGACACTCATTTTCGCCATGCATCATGGGACCAAGCGTAGAGAAGCCCAATGAGTCCTGCTCAGCGGCAAACTTTTTTCTGTTGTCAAATGGAAAATTATGGAAAAACAAATATCTTGAATTAAATCCAACTTAATCCATTTGCCCAAAATGGAAGTGTTGGAAACTACACCCAACTAGTTAAATCCGACTTCATTTCTTTAAGATCCTATGTGTTTCCTGCAAACATCGCGAACATGCATTATCTGGGGATATCAAATCATTTCAACAAACGGGGACACACAGCAACCCAGCAATGATGTGATATGAACTATCTGGGCAACTCATTGATGTTCCCAAATTGCAAGAGCTCCCAAATCCAACACATTAGCTAATAGACGATATATACGAGCTGTGCACTTACTTACATGTTGCATACTACTTACTACCAACCTGCATCAATCTGCTAGCTAAATGCTAGCTGTGAAACATGTTCACTACTATACAACCTACTGTTGAATATATTCACCGATAGCATATAACTCCCAAGACTACATACCTCATAACTCATGACTGTTGACTGCCAATTTACGTAAGTTACATAACTCTCAACCCACCCCCCACCCACCACCACAGCCACAACCACTAGGGGAGAGGGCACCATGACCATTGGTGAGGGGATGGGGTGTTACAAGGGCTTCTTACTGTATTACAGGGGCTGGTTACAGGGGGGCTGTACATTTGCAAACAGCTTATCAGCTTGTTTTCTGGGTAAATTAAAATAATTCACTAACCTGAATTAAGGCCATTTGGGGATGATTTCCCTTACTAACCATGATTTCCAGTGAGGTCGCAGTGAGGTCGTTATAATTTACCCAGTTGTTTTTATCTAATACAAATCTGCAGAATCCTTTTTCGCTGCAGGAAAAACAGGGAAATCACAGTCAACCCTCACCGTGGCCATGGGGGCCATGGCCAGGTGCTTTCGCTCCTGGTCCACATCCACCACCAGAATAAATTCTCCACTCTGGTCCAAGGCCTAAAGAGTTTCAAGGGGGCTCGCCATTGTGCAAACATGGTGGCGTAGTTGATTAACATATGGTTCATATACTGTGAATGGTTCAACATCGGGATTCAACCCATCCTGATTTCGGTCTCAAAAAATCATGGTATACTAAGGACTTCTGAATGACACTTTCAACAAGGAAATATCTGGAACTGTCCAAACTTCAACAGGGACCAGTGGGACTGATTTAAAAAAAAAATCTACGGTGATCTTACCTCTATTTAAGATAGTCAAAGAGTCAATTTCTATTTTTTAACTTTTTGTTCTGTGATGACATTCTTACCAATCTTGAGCTGCAAAATGCGATTGATAACAAATGATGTGCTGGCAAATATAATGCAAATGATCGGATATATTGTAATTTAATAGTCCAATTATTTTTACGCCCAAAAGAAGAGATCCCGCGACACGACTGCCTACAACGCTTGCCATTACATAGGATGTAACTTGAATCCGGCATTGCTTCTTAGGTGACTTTAGCTTGCACAGGGCACAGGGTTGGCACCAGTTTTTGGTTGTCATGACATCTTAAGTGACTGGGGTAGCTAAAAACCATGAATCAAATTACTTTACTTCGTGTGATCCCCACCATGACATTTATACATTTTGTTACTGGCAAATCTTCTGGCATTCTATCTGACATATTTTCTGGCATTCGATCTGGCATTCTATCTGGCATATCTTCTGGCATTCTACCTGGCATATCTTCTGGCAGATGTTCTGGCATATCTTCTGGCAGATGTTCTGGCATATCTTCTGGCAGATGTTCTGGCATATCTTCTGGCATATCTTCTGGCATATGTTCTGGCATATCTTCTGGCATTCCATCTGGCATTCTATCTGGCATATCTTCTGGCATATTATCTTGCAAATCTTCTGGCATTCCATCTGGCATTCTATCTAGCATATCTTCTGGCATATTATCTGGCAAATCTGCTGGCATTCTATCTGGCAAACATTCTGGCACTTTATCTGGCATATCTTCTGGCATTCTAGCTGGCATTCTATCTGGCATTCTATCTGGCATACCTTCTGGCATTCTATCTGGCATATCTTCCTACATGAGGTCCGGCAGGGAACACTTGGCGTGGATACTCGCGGTTGAGGTCCGGCAGGGAACACTGGGCGTGGATGGCCGTGGTTGAGGTCCGGCAGGGACCACTGGGCGTGGATGGCCGTGGTTGAGGTCCGGCAGGGAACACTGGGCGTGGATGGTCGTGGTTGAGGTCCGGCAGCGAACACTGGGCGTGGATGGTCGTGGTTGAGGTCCGGCAGCGAACACTGTGGATCGCGAGTCGCAGTTGAGCAGGAGGACGAGGAGGACAACGAGACGAGGAGGACAACGAGACGAGGAGGACAACGAGAGGAGGAGGACAACGAGAGGAGGAGGACGACGAGAGGAGGAGGAGAGGAGGAGGAGGAGGAGAAGGCAACTTAGATAAAATCTAACAACCCTCACCTGGCAGGTGGGGAACATGTGTATTCAATATATACATGTTTTAGGTTGTGGTACATGTCCATGGACCGAAATATTGCGTTTATTTGACATTTTTTTTGTGATCGCACGTCTTCAAAGTTTTTTTTTGCCGTTTTGAGTCCGTCCAATTCTTTGTCCTTTATTAATATTGGCAAGTACTTCTGAACAGTGATTGAAATATTGATTTCCTGCAAGGCTACCGCAATGCCGCAAACACAATGAAAATAGTTGTGTTAAAAAGAAACATATAAGGAAACAGAAACAAACAACCCTCACCCAAAATTACATACGGCCCGTAAAGTCAAAGACTTCATTTCTTATGATGGTAGTCTCACTCACAAGGTGTCTGCGGACATGTCTGAAGTTTTGGGCACAGTTGTTGGTGAAACCCTTTCATCCTTGATTTTTATGGACACATCCATGATTTTCAGGGCTATAGCCTATAGCCGGCCACATGCTGAGGCACGTCTTCGAATGTCACCTGTCACCCCATCGGCGATCACCACACTATACTTAATTTTGTGGTCCTTCATGTCACTAAAAAAAGACGCAGAACAAGTTGCAACAATGATCCGTATATTATGATTTTTTGGGGGGGCTGAGATAGTTAAAGGATTGCGCAATTACCTCTGCCCAACAGTCTCATGTAATATTGGAACACAGGTACAAATGGTGGGCTCACACAAGCAAAGAAACGAAGTCATGGCATTGGGCCTTCCCTGCTATATCCCACACCCGCGAGTTCAATGGAGGCAATATTCTTCAAAATGTTAGAATCGCACTTGTCTTGGCTATGGGCCCAGATACAAAATATGTGGTTCTCACAGCAGTGTGACAAACTAAAGTCTAGAGACTTTCAAGACATGTCAAAGTTAGGCTCCAAACAAAAAATTGAACAAAAACAATTTTGTCAAAATTTGGTGAAGTGCATTTAAGATAATCACTGTCCTAAGGATGGGGTCTCCCAGTGCCCGTCCATACAACCTTCGGTAGCGCTACGGACCTCTGTATGCCTCTCCTTGACTATCTTAAATGCAAGTTGAAAAAATCATTCAGTTCTAAAACGATCAAAAAAATCGCCCCATAGAACGGTCATGTAAGGGACCCAGCGTTCGGTAGCGCTACGGAGTGCTGTATGTATGGGGACTGCCAGGCCCCATGCTTACAGCGGTGATTATCTAAAATGCACTTAGCCAAAATACATTATTTTTTTTCAACTTTTGTCTTTCCCCACCTGCCAGGTGAGGGTTGTTAGATTTTATGTCAGTTGCCTCCTCCTCCTTCTCCTCCTCCTCCTCCTCCTGCCTCGTCCTCCTCTCCTCCTCCTCCTCGTCCTCCTCGTCGTCCTCGTCGTCCTCGTCGTCCTCGTCGTCCTTGCTCAACTGCGACCCGCGATCCCCAGTGTTCTCTGCCGGACCTCAACCACGACCATCCACGCCCAGTGTTCCCTGCCGGACCTCAACCACGACCATCCCCGCCCAATGTTCCCTGCCGGACCTCAACCACGACCATCCTCGCCCAGTGTTCCCTGCCGGACCTCAACCACGACCATCCACGCCCAGTGTTCCCTGCCGGACCTCAACCCCGAGTATCCACGCCAAGTGTTCCCTGCCGGACCTCATGTAGGAAGATATGGGACAAAGAATGTGCAGAAGAAAGTTAGAAAGAATGTCAGAAAGAATGTCAGAAGATATGCCAGAAGATACGCCAGAAGATATGCCAGATAGAATGCCAGATAATATGCCAGAAGATATGCCAGATAGAATGCCAGAAGATTTGCCAGATAGAATGCCAGAAAATATGCCAGAAGATATGCCAGATAGATATGTCAGAAGATATGCCAGATAGATATGTCAGAAGATATGCCAGAAGATATGCCAGAAGATATGCCAGAAGATATGTCAGAATATATGCCAGAAGATATGTCAGATAGAATGCCAGAAGATATGCCAGGTAGAATGCCAGAAGATATGCCAGATAGAATGCCAGAAGATATGTCAGATAGAGTGCCAGAAGATATGCCAGATAGAATGCCAGAAGATTTGCCAGAAGATATGCCAGATCATATGCCAGAAGATATGCCAGATAGAATGCCAAATAGAATGTCAGAAGATATGTCAGATAGAATGCCAGAAGATTTGCCAGTAAGAAAATGTATAAATGTCATGGTGGGGATCACACGAAGTAAAGTAATTGAATCTTTTCTTTTTTAATGAAGCCCGTTCTGAAGGTTTCAATGACGAAGCGGGAAATTGTTCATACGTATATATATATACATACATACATAAGTGCTTAGAGTATTATTGTGATGAATCTTCATGCGATGCCCATACAATCTAGTTTAATTCGAGTTTGACATTGATATCAACAAAAAACATCAAAAAACATTAGATGGCATGCTGCTACCCATTCATTCCATACACACATGGCCAAGATGAGGACAAAGCATCGACAGATTAGTCGCTGGCCATTCCATGAAATCATTGCATGTCACTACTTGTTTTTCAAAATTGTCCGTGGGGTTCCTTCATTCCCCGCTATCTAATTATGCGAATGTAGATTGATGCAGGCCTGTTGTTGCAAGTTGTGAGTTTGATGATGAAATCATATAATATTGAATTCATGCAAAATTAGATATTAGGAGCAGGCACTCTATTTGTGGCTTTGTCAATGACCGCGGCTAGGTGCTTTAATCAAATGCTGCCCTGTAGAAAGTCATGATGCTGAGAGTTTGGCCACATCGCCGTTTTTGACTATAAACGCGCAAATTCAGTGTTGGGGTTTATCATAGTTGGTGGTTTGGCTTTTGTATTGACCGTAGTGGCCTGCGTATACTCCAGACCAATGACCAGTAAAGAAGAAGACCCCAAGGCTGTATAGGGTAATTTCTTGATTTGGTCAAAACAGTCACACATGTTACTTATATGCGGAGTCGTCGTGTTTAAGTTTATTCATTCGGTTGCTGGTCTGTCAATATATAATCAAAGGTCAAAAAATCTTCAAGTTAGCCGTTTGAAGGCAACAATTTCAATCAGCTCTTTTGCACAGCGTTGGGTTAACAATAGGGTCCTGCACTGTCTCATGTACAATATATTTATATTTATACATATGTACAAAAGTGGTGGCGAAATGTTCATTCCTCACCATTTGACTATTTGCTTCAGAAAAGGGGGAAACAACTTCAGAATTGGATTCCCAAAATGGTAAAAATATGAGTGCCTCTCCAATTTATATGCCGATCATGTTCTTCTAGTCTGCGTCAATCAATTAAGGTTGGGCGACCACTTTGGACAAGTAGATAGCGTACTTTTGGAAGATACTTCAATCCAACACAGCTGGAGCCACAATGCCCCCACGCTCTTGCATTAATATACTTTGCAATTATGAGAATTTGACTATTTGACTATCTTAAATAAAGGTAAGTGATGGTTCTATGATCTCAACATCATGAGACTTTTCATTTCGTGCTGATGGCTTTGAAACAAAAACGCAGAAATACTCACACAAGATTTCCAGCCGCATAATTTCTGGTGAGCAAGTGCACAAAATAGTTGACGTTTCCACCCAGAACAGATGGATGCTTCACAACAAAAAAACAATTTCCAGCTTCCAGGCGTTCCGGTTGAAACTCCGCATTTCTGATGATGAAAACCCAATGTTCACGTCATTGATCTCCATATATTCCCATGTTTTGATGCTACCCGCATTTCCGGGAACATCACTTTTGATCGTTGAATCCCGGCTTGCCATAGCTTGCCCATATTTTGACAGTGAACCCGCAAAGCTTGGTTGATATGCCCATGATTCCGCGTGGGAATGTGTCGAACTCCATCTGTCCATCAAGCATCCATCCAGCCACATCCTTCCACATCCTTCCACATCCTTCCACATCCTTCCACATCTACTTATGTGGAATATAGCGGAAGGTTCATTCAACCCCAGAATTCACTGACATTTACCTGAAAACCCAGTGATTGGTGGTTTCCTGTAGATGTTCCCCCGAGCCAATCCAGTGTTTCACCGAGGTTTGGGTTCCAATGTGACCCAGAAATTGACCCCCATCCCCGACATCTGATGTCATGACTTCCATCCCGACAGTAAGCACCAAGCTGCGAAGAGCCTTGTACCAAGTACACTAGAGCTGCGCCACTTCTTCCTTGGTTGACACTGGTCGTTTTTCAGATTTGGATTTTGTGGGAAGCATCAATGATACAAGGTAGGGCCCCCCCAGTTATAAGTTGCTTTATAAAACCCTATTAAGTGTTATTGTATATCATGTTATATCCCCCATCAACCATAGTTCACTAAGTTATAAGTCGACTTAGCTATAGTTTGGGGGGCCCAAACTGTAGAGTAGGTGTGGAAGCCTTAACCTATTGGATATAGCTGAGGATAAATTGATAAATTAATGCACATGATCAGACATTCGTTCTACTGCATACAGTGGATGGTTGCGAAATCCACCAGCTGAATCCAGTTGAAAACGGTGGTAAAAACATCCCGTTATTCATAGGTTTTCAAGCATCCATCCCAGGTGCTTTATCGGATTTCCCAACCATCCTTCCCATAGCTGTGGATTTTAACCACAGATGGCCATGGCATCCCTCCAATGGGTAAAACTAATTCAATGTTGTTGTAGGTACATAGGAAAAGCAGTGAAGAAAAGGGTTAGATGATGTTAGATGTTGTTTTATGTACTTAGAAACAAAACTGTGAAGAGTGGCACACCCATTGGTCCATATGATAAAACTATGCGAGATACGAAAAAGAAAAAAAACATATGCATCACAATCATACAAGACAAACTACAAACTGCCCCCACCCAGTTGTAAGTTGATGTATGCACAGTATGCACACCCATTCAACTGTATATAAATTCAACAATGATTCCAACAGCTATTGTATGCTATTGAGACATATTGAGATTATTTTAACAAACGGAAGCATATTTTGGGGGCCCAAATGGTAGATGCTGCATTTGAACGAAACCAGTTCAGGCAATAAGATCAATAAGCGACCCTCAGTTCGCACAAACTTGGTTTGATGTCCACCATCCCCATCATTGGAGGGTTTTGGCGGGTAAAAATATATATCGCCATAAAAATATTGTTGGGATTGTAGCATTTAGTGGTTGATTCACTTGAATATCTTCAATCCCTATGTGATATGGTGAAATCTCTGTTCTTTTGCAAACAAAATTGCCTGATTAAACACCCACTTGTTGGCTTCAAGCCATCATTTTTATTGTTTTTCTGTAACCAAAATATCTCAGCCACCTGAAGTGATGATTGAACCCGCATAAGTTGCATGGTCAATTCCCAGTTCGCGTTGCTTGAGCAACGATCATCCGATCATCTTATACTACCCAATTGACATCCCACGTGGTCTGGTTGGTCAAAACCCAGGTACCCATATCCCAGAAGAGTTTTTTTTTGTAACCACCCAAAAAGATAGAACAGTAAAATCCTTAGTCTATAAGATTTTACAACAATTGTAGCAATTACTATAATATATATACTATATATTACTATGTCTTACTTATCTATAATCATAATCCCGCTATAGTGCTTACTTTTCTCTTTGGGTATGTTACTATACCCTCAGAAAACTCCAGATTTCCCATCAATCCCCATCCAGGCATCCGATACTCCTCCTTCAACTTGTGTTGGGTGGTCCTCGTGGATTGATAATCCTATGCTATCAGCCTATGAGACTTTTCATAATTCTGGGTACCCCAACCAATAGCTGGATGATTTATTTCATGGAAAATCCGAACATCAAATGGATGATGACTTTTTTCTTGTTTCTTACATGTAAAAAATCATCGTGTATCCCTATTTTAGGAAGCCCTCCATATGGGCAAAAAAAATGCTGATGGATCTCGAATGAGTGGATCGTGATCCACCAACTGTAGATCAATGAAAAAGCGGATCAAATTTTAAGGACTTCATGGGAATATTTATGGAATATGTCAAATAAGGTAAGATTATATAATTTATATAACATATTATAACAAATTATAACGTAGTTCCTATTTCATATATTCATGAATATTTCATATTTCATTATATATAACATATTATAACACATTATAAGATTATCTAAACAAGAATCTGGCTGTAAACCCTGCAGACGTTCCTTGAAACATGTCTGGGAATGATGTTCTCATTGAGGAATATATATACTTTCCAGTAAATTAACATAGCTGGGTAAAGCCCATGGTGAAACCTGAGGGCATCATCTCTGACTGTCCAGGTTTCCAGAAAGGAAACAGGGTGCCATGATGGGACCTCGATGCCCCTGGCAATGACGTTACTATACCACAGCCGTAAGAAACACCAGTCAGGTTCGGGAAGCGTACGGCAAACTTGTGGAATTGGTGCCAAATTCTCCTAAAGTTATAGAGATTCTAATTACCTGATACCGGGATGGTACGGGTATTACACTTTACAGTAACTTCCCCTATTTTAGTAAAACAACAATGAAACCACTTACCCATCCTCCACCATTGTGCCCAGAGCCCCTCAAGACATCCCACTCTCCTTGGGGCAACATCTCCACCGTCGAAGTGAAATTCGTAGAGCACGCTTTCGGTCGCGGTCTCCGATGGAATCCCCAGAACACGCCCTTGCACCTCGTGGGAAAAGTAAGATCAGCATCTATGGATGATTTAAAACATGAATCACTTGATATCGCTCCATATATTCAAACACGGAATGTTGTTAGTTTTTTAACCAACATATTAAATACATCAAAATCATCAAAATAATATAATATGATTACAAGCATGTTCAATGACGATCGCAGGATACGTGCCATCGTCGATGTCTCCCAACCGAGCCACAGAAGCGAGGAAAAAGGCCGGCGATGTTTTACTGTTTGCCCCGTCAATCTGCAGCGTGGTGCCCTGGTGTTCCAGGCGGTGTATTCGATGACTTTTGTAACGTTTATGTCATGGTTACCCTATGGTAAACTAACATAACTGTGGAAAACCACCATTTTCGATGGCTAAATCAACTATTTCGGCCATGTTCCAGTTCGCAAACTGTTAGTCATTACCAGAGGCTAATCTGGTTAATCTCAAGATACCCCGAAAAAACGACTGTCCAATCCATCGCCGTGTTATGATCGAACAAACAACACAGGGGGATTCATCAGAAAATGAGAGCAAACGATCCAAAACAATTGGGACTCAAAACTCAAAAAAAAACGTGTGAAAAGGAGTGTGTTTATAGATGTTTATAGATGTTTATAGATGTTTATAGATGTTTATAGATGTTTATAGTATCCCCCATTCAGTCTCTATTGATCTCTCTTGTAACCCCCATTCAACCAGTCAGTGTATCCCAACGCCAACAAAGGTCAACTGATCATTGCTCAGTTGGTGAATGACAATCTCTGCTGATTACACAAAATTCACCAACCTGATTTGGTTGGTCTCTGCATGTCTCTGTGGGGAGGTTCTCAAAAGATCTCCATTGATCTAGTCTGGCGACATCCGCAATCAATGAGTGCATCTGGTTCCATCAGGACCTTCTCAGCACATAGAAATTTGACAGTTGGACACCCCAGGTTCCACATGGAATGGTGTTCTTAGAAATTACGTGGTCGTTGTGTTTTTCTTCTATGCCCTGGAATTTTATCGTGCTTGCAGGGATGCTCTGGGGCTAAGCTGAGGATCAATATCATGATGTATTCATGATTTCATGACGTCTTCACGATGTAGTCAATACAAGATGTGTCATGATGGTTTGTTTCAGTCTGGTATCCTTGTTCATTCATTGTGTTCAAAAACATATCTGTCCGACCTGTCCTGCACATGTAAACTGGGTAAACTGGGCAGCTGCAGCGGATCACATTGCCAGTTCTTGGATATTATGGGATCATTGTTCTGGGTAAAGGCCATAATATTTCACCCTGAATTAAGATGAATTGTTGGGCCGTTTGGGGATGATTTCCCTGATAAACCATGATGAAACAGTGAGGGAGAACAGTGAGGTCGCAACATAATTTACCCAGATTGTTGTATTTTTGTTTCCTCACGTTTATCCTTTTCAGGGGCCAACAATTGTAGAGCGAACGTTCGACTGTCCCCCGTTTTTGTGCTTGGGTACCTGCAATGCTGGAGTTTCCATGTGATTTGGCTTTAACACATGCCATTATGCATTTATCTGCTCGGCTCACCAATATCCTTGGAACCCATTCTTGTTAATAGATGATTTTCCCATTAATAGATGATTTTATAGGATACTATACTATAATATATCTATATTATATATCCACATATATCCACTATGTAATCAAAAAATCCTGCGCCTTCTCGGCACTGAGCTCTTCGAGCGGCATTCGCTTCAAGGCTTCCGAAAGCTCCGGGCACTGCTTGGTCGGCAGAGGCTGCCTGGGATGGCGCGGCAGTTTAGCGACCGGTAGGGTGACCATGGGTGACCGGTGGAAGTGTGACAAGAAACTTTTCACTACGAAATTTCTGGGAAAAAGTGGTTTGATCAATAGTTATTGATCTTGATCCCAACAGAATCCCAACATAGTTCTTGATCTTGATCCAATTTGTTATAATCTGTTGATTTGTTGGATGGATTGCCAAATCGTCATGGTCTACAGCACGGGGACCAGCTAGCATCTTCACATGTGGGATCAATAGGGCAAAAGCTGACTGGGCAACAGCCAAACTGATCCAACATGGATCAACATGGGAATATCATCAAGGAGGCTAGCTAGCCAATCAACATTTTGCTATCCACGCGATCTGCTGGCCATTAGATCACCACCCCAAAAAAAGAAAAAAACAAATAGACAGCCTGTAATTCTTTGATGTCAAACCCAGAAATCATAGTCGAGTAATGTTGAGTATATAACAAGAAAAGATGTTTGTGGAACAATCATCCACAACTGGTAGACATTTAAAAAAAAAATAGGAATATCACTGGGCCAACTCACGATGATATGTAACCCCCCATAGAGTCGTAGAAACAACAACTTCGATCTCAGAGGACCCATATTTTGCTGGTTAAATCCACGCGTTTGATGTTTGTCCCCTCTGTTTTCGTGGATTAGATATATGGGCATGTCTTAAAATGGTGTACCCAAAATGTTGATGGTGTATCAATATATTTCCCTGTCAAAGTAGCCATGTTTGGGGTATACACTATTTTCAGACATACCCATATTACACTGGTTGGTGGTATACCTACCCCTCTGAAAAATATGAGTGCGTCAGTTGGGATGATTATTCCCAATATATGGAAAGTCAGAAAATTCCATGGTTCCAGTCACCACCAACCAAATATATTCTTCCATTATTAACCATGATTAACCATTATTAACCATTATTAACCATTGACATATCCTATATTATAAACCACATGTTCCAGTCACCACCAACCAAAACTCATTGCAACCCCTACCTTTGCCCACCGATCCCGCGCATCCTTTGACATGTTATTTGGATGTGGTTTTGACCGTGCAGGTTGGCACCGACACGTAAAAAATCGAATGTTTACTGTTGGTAAAGCAATAGGATCCACCATCCCCACATTTAACATGTTAATGAGTGGTATACAGCTATAAATATATATATATATATACGTATACAAAACGCAAAAAAAATGCCAAAACGCACAGGCCACCGGTCACGGCGTGACCTGGGTAGTTAATACTAATTAATCTTTTTGTTTGGCACATCTTCCAACCTTCCATTCTTCCATGTTATGGTTAATAGCAAAAAATCAATATGTTATCAACATTTACACTGGTTGTTTCACAGTTCACTATGGAAAATCACCATTTTCAAGTTCGGTAAACCATCTATTTCTATGGGCCATCTAAAAACCATGGCAAACTGTTAGTCATAACCAGATGGTATGAGCAATTATTAGCCATTACATGCCATTACTGCCCCATCTCTCCGTCCAAGTCAGTCCAAGTTGCTCTTGCCCAAAGCGCCAGGTTTCATTGCAGCTGGGAGCCTCGCAGAAGCAGAGCTTCTGCTTTTCACCTTGAAACGTCTGGCTGCGCGGCATGACATAAATAGGTCAAAAAAATCTGGTGCTGAAATTCCATATGAAATTCCATATGACATGTAAAAACACATATGAAGTTCAATGTGAATCATATGAAATCTATGACTGTGAACTTAGAAACTATGATAATATAATATAATTATTATAGGGATTTTTGATGCTGAAATTTCTCAGTTCCTCGAGAGTTGCTTGGACCAGTGAAGCATCACTTGACGCTGATGTTTTTTTGATGATCACCTGGACCTAAAGTTGGAAAGTTAGGGGCAAATGATCAAAGGCGTTCTACAACAAATGACAAAAACAATCTATAAGTGGACCTAATCAGCTTCTATCAGCTTATCTAGTGACTCTAGTGGGTTACCTGGTTACCTCAACTTAAATTCTCACAATAAATACTAATAAATGCATTGACACGAATTCATCAGGGTACATAACCTGTAGACCACAACTGGGTGCCTCAACAACAGGTGGACATCCATTGTCAGGAAAATGTTGGCCACTTCTTTGCGGTAGGATACCCTATAGCAGATGTTGGCATAAATACTCAAATCTGATCCATACTCACACAGATTCTAGGTACTTGTAATATCTGTAACATCAATGAAGGCATACAAGGAATCTGCCCTGAAATCATGGGCAATAACTCTGTCTGATGTACAAGTACCTGAATGAAGTGAAGTGAGCCGTAGTGAGACTCTCATTCATCTTCCAAATGTTGAGGCTTTTGGGGTGGAACTGGATGGAATCTCTCAAAACCATGGATCTTTCCTCCACTTGGGGACGTTGCTTTCCAAAATTTATACCATTTTTGGACATTTGTTTGGGGGTTCAATCATGAAAAATGCGGGATTTCATGCACAACTCTTGGATTGTTGCAGCCAAGAAATGGGAATGAAACCAGACTACAACTGGCTGGTGAAACAATCCACAATTTTGGATATGACATTATGGTGATCCCCAATGTCTTTCATTGTTTCGGTGTGCAGTATGGGTTTTGAATGGTTTCGAATAAGATTGTTTTGGGGGAGTACCAACTGACTGACTGGCCCCATCTTCAGTTGCAGGACTTTCAGATATCTGTGTGTTCTAAGTGTCCAACCATCAAGATCAGCACACATCCTGTCTCCTAAATTGTTTCTTTTAGACCTCTTTGATGGATCCGAAAATGAACAGATCCACCTGCCTGGTTTTGTGGGCTGATCAGGATTATTGGGAAGGCACATTCTACCAATTTTATAGCGGGTTTGCACCTGGAAACTGTGCTTTTTCATTATCATGAGACTGACAATGCCAGCGGCCAAGCGACCCTCGCCCCACTCCTTCACATCAAACCTGGAAGAAGTGTTCTCTGCACCCAAAACCGCGACCTCCGGCGGCTCAATGGGCGCAGTGGCTGTTTTCTTGCACATATAGCTTCCCAGACATCCCTTTTTTTTTGGGTTTCAGGGATGGTAAACATGGGAGTAAAGCATAGTAAAGCAGCTAACATGGAGTCATGGGCCAAACTGGAGGTTTTACTATTATTGTTGTTGGCTGAAGAAATACCAGTGTTGACTCTTTGTTGGCAAGAACAGCATGTGGCAGTCTTTTAATCATACTCACTCGTCCATCTGGGCAAAAAACTATAACCATGAGGCAAACCATCTTTGAGATGTTTCAGGCAGCAACACAGCTGGAACGTCACCCATACTTGGATCATTAAACCCAAATGTTGATTGTTCAATATCCGGAACCAATCATTCGATCCATTCACAACAGTTTTTCCAGATTTTCCCAGATGAGGGTCATTGCACTGGGAGGTTGATTCCAGAGGTGACTTTCCAACGTCGGTGACACCTCCATGCGCTTGTCGAACCAATCGAAGTAGATCCAGTCGTCAGGATCTCGAACTCCACAGGCCTAGGGCTCGTTGGCTTCCCAGGCTCCGAAGATCTTTTTGGGGGGATCCAAACCCACCTTGAAAATGGCCTCCGAACACCGTGTTTCTGGATCAACTATTCAAATAGAATCTATTAGAATGGTTTTTATATTCAAACACTGTTTGAATACCCCTTAACATCTCAATGAGCTTGGTGGAATATAAAACAAACCACTACACAAAATTCGTATTACAATTCGATGCTGGGATGTATAACCAACGGTGTCATTTTAGGGTCTTTCCAAAAATGGGGGAAACAAAATTCGTGGCAATGTTAGGAGGAAATGTTGTTGATTCCCAATTAATGGATAATCCGTAATCCGCAATATATTATATATTATATATTATATTATATATATAGTACAAAGGGTAGCACAACCCCGGGAAAAACATCAACCAACCCTTGTTAAGCAAGTATAGTTTCATACTTTTGATAGCTTGAGCCCCTAGAAATGCTTCAATTCCCCATTCACTGACTCATCAACCTGGGTGTAAAATCAGTTTTTTTTAACTCCACACATGTTGTCACCAAGATACATAGTCGTTGTGCACCACCAAAGCCTTGTCCCACTGTGAGAAGGACTTCCCTTCCACCTGCACTGCCGTGAGTGGCTGGGGATATGACGCTTGGAGATCCGGATTTTCCCGCGAGAACAAGTGCTGCGATGCACAGGTTTTGACCTTTTGAGCCCGAGCCATATGGGATCATATGGGTGTATGATTGCAATTCAGACCCATTAAAACCAGGTCTTTAAGGAGGCTTATATGGGCTACAATATAGCTTCTGGTGCTGACCGGCAAAATCATTAGGAACCACAAGTATTGATTGACCATCATTTCCCATGTGGCTTATGAATCCTTTGTTTGTCATGGCTGATTTCTTTGTTCAAACGATGCGACTGTCAGGGTCTGATCATTCCCATGATCCTCACCATTCCAGTTCAGTTGGCGCTGAACTAGCCCCCATATGTCACGATATGTCCGCCATCTTTATCCAGCAGTGATTGCAGTTTTGAACCAACTGAACTAGTGTAAATCAATTATACATCCATATGTTTGTTTGTTGGTTTTCTCCCAATGTTGATGGCTAAATAGCAATTTCCCGTAGATCTCCCCTCTGTTCAGCAACTTTCCTGTGGTTTTTAGGCTCCCTTCATCTCATGAGATCCCATGAGATCCAGATCAAGACCGATCGCACCTGGAGTTGAGCGTCAGGTTTGATGATCAGATCGCTGTTGTCTGGACCATCCTAAAGCAGCGTCCGGGAGTCCGGCGCCCGTCCGATTTGGTGCTTTGCTGCTGAAGCGGGAATCCCCTGCTTCGGTTTAATCTTCATCTATAGCTATATCTATGACTTTATGAAACCTACGGTATTCTAATTCTTAATCAATGTAAAAATATGTAAGAATTGTCACTCAGCAGCTGGATATTGGAATGCAAAGTGCTTGATTTGGGGTTATCTGCTTGGCTGATTCCCCAGTCAAAGATCAAAGCCAAAAGGGCGTGCAAAAGGTGGCACCTACTAGTTCTAAGAGGTTTCTAACTTTTGTTGACTAGACCTTAAACAAAACGGGGGATGAAAGGTATATTTATAAAAACATATAAAGTATATGGCTATAGTTCCATGTATATCTAGTAGGGAAAACATTGCTTGTGTGGCTGGGGATCGATCAAATTTGTGACAGTCAACAGGCTGATACTCTTCCGTCCTATCCATTGCAACGCTAAAAACGCTGCGTCAGTCCCCTGCTGCGATGATTCCACCCTGGGGATGAAAGGTCTCTGAAAAAGCGACACTTCCATGAGAGACGCCACAGGGTCAAGTAACTAGGTGTAGAAATATACTAGTTAGTTTAGAAATATAAGACTTGAATGATTCATACTCTAAGACTTGAAATCACTACTTTAGAAATATAGCATTCGAAGAATCTTTCGCATTGATATCCTCCGACCCGAGTGGAGGGAGAACACGGCGTTTTATCCACCCATCAACCAACCGGTAGAACACCAGGTAGCCCATCCAATGCAATACGAGTACGATCATAAAACCGAGCCATGAAGCCTCTTGGGCTTGCCAAATGCATTTGAAGTCCAAAGAGACGTTCTCCAATTTTCCAGGACCAATGCCTCAGACTTCTGTGTTCATCATTGTTCATCTAACTCCCAATCATGCTCACTAAAGTACTTACGACTGGGATCAACACCCACATGGATAAAACCCCAGTTACCTAGTTGAGGGGTCCCCGAAATAGATACCATTCCAATCACAAATGTTTCCCCCACGGTTGAAGGTGGCAAAAGACCTAGGATCCACAGATTCTTGGTGGAATGTTGAACTATACTGAAGGGTCATTTCACTTACAGTCAGTTGTTGGTTATCAAGGAAAGTTGTTGGTCATCTCACTTACAGTACATGTTTATTTTATTGTTGAATTCCCATTGGTTGGTTATCGTCTGGGATGACTCAACCACTGGGTTTTCATGATGGTGACTTACCAACAGGTGATGTTATGATGTCAAAATATATAGAATTGGACATACGCACCACCCATGAAGAACTTGGAAATAAAAAAAATGGTAATGGCCAAATCTTCTTTGGCCTATATACATATAACTTGATATTATAATATATATATATATATATATATATATATATATACGCGCAAAACCGCTGTCTCGCCGTCGGCTGAAACTGCTTAAAACTGGGGGTTTTGTCATGATTCCTGGAAATTTCCAATGGAAAAATGTGGCGAAACGCCATCTGACCACACGTCAACGTTTTTTTTCTTGTGTTTCACGACATCCAGTGTAGCTTTGCTACCTTGAAGGCGTCTGATGGAGATAGTTTTACTATCCCTGCCAAGCAATCTTTTCTACAGACAGTCATTGCGTTCAGGATTGCTTTCAGTCCTGGCTGCCGATGCAAGCTTGCGGCGGCAAGCACCTGAATATTTTTCAGTTTTTTTTTTCGAAGTGTTTCTCCCCAAAGAAAGGAAGCGACGTAACATCACTGACGTCTTGAACATAAAACCGAAGAAAGTCAAGAGCGTAACATCACTCACGTGTGAACATAACAACGAAGCAAGTCAAGAGCGTCACATCACTGACGTGTTAACATAACAACGAAGAAAGTCAAGAGCGCCACATCACTGATGTCGTAACATAAAACCGAAGAAAGTCAAGAGCGTAACATCACTCACGTGTTAACATAACAACGAAGAAAATCAAGAGCGTCACATCACTGACGTGTTAACATAACAACGAAGAAAGTCAAGAGCGTAACATCACTGACACGTTAACATAAACCGAAGAGAGGACGGGAACGAAAGGACGTTATCATGCCCCCCCACCCCCACCCCCCCCAAAGAAAGGAAGCGACGTAACATCACTGACGTCTTGAACATAAAACCGAAGAAAGTCAAGAGCGTAACATCACTCACGTGTTAACATAACAACGAAGAAAGTCAAGAGCGTCACATCACTGACGTGTTAACATAACAACGAAGAAAGTCAAGAGCGGCACATCACTGATGCCGTAACATAAACCCAAGAAAGCCAATCGCATAACATCACTGACGTGTTAACATAAACCGAAGAGAGGACGGGAACTTAAGGACGTAAGCAGCGCCACAAACAGCTCAAAAAAAAAAAGACCATCCAGAACGTGCCAAAAACGCAAAAAGTCGCGCGCCTGCCAGCGAAAATGCCATACGACTTTTTTGTAAGATCAGAAAA